AGATTTTTAGTAGAATTGTTGTCTACACTTGTTTAATTTCCTAACTCAAAATAAGTACATCTCAAATTCAATAAAGATTTTTAGTAGAATTGTTGTCTACACTTGTTTTAGTTTTCGTTTTGTTTACAAATAAGACAGGTAAGAAAACAAGTGTTGGGGAGGCGCCACACTCACCTCCAACTCAGTTGCACAAAAAGATCGCCATGTTCAAAACTTCGGTTTGTGAAACTCACTCTCTCTCTCCATACTTAGAACAATAAGAATTTAAAACTGAACAAATTTTGAGATAAACTACAAAGTGATTAGTCCATCTCCATATCTTCCAATGATGAAAAGTTTGCATACTCATTATTCCTTACTAATATTCCTAAAAACTTGTAAACACTTATCATAGGGACCCCATTTTTATCTAAGTGATTGACGAATGAGATAAAGTAGGATGACATGACACTTGCTCATTCTTGCAAAGAACTTGGGGTTTATCTTTATAAAACAAAATTCAAAATAGCATGTGCCTTGAATGATATACAAATACCTACCAAGGCCATATGTGTTCATACATGACAAAAACCTTCCACATATGCCTCATACTTTGTGTTCAGTTTGGTCAAGTTTTGTGACCCCTGTTGAGAGATTTTTCATGCTCCCAAGATCAAAACTCACATACACACCACAAATAAACAACTATTCCTACACTGGGAATACGGTAAAACATGTTTCCATCACCAGCAAATAAATACTCCATGCTTCAAATATATGATCTAGCATTTTCCAGAGAGACAAAAAGGCTATGCAAAAAGAATTGAAAAAAATGGAACACATGAAGGTCCCAAAGTATTGAAAAAAATATATAGGGACACATGAAGGTCCCATGATGTTTGAAAAAAACATATGGGCACATGAAGGCTCATAAGAAAATAAGCTAGCCATGTCTCAAAATAAAATCTAGAGAAAGAGATCATATCAAATAGAGGAGTATAGTTCCATCAAATTCCACACACTTGCACGGTTTTGATCTAAGAGTATGACGCTTCTCTCCGGTGGATTCAGAATTTGACTTTACAACATATGCAAGGTAAGTGTGCCTCAAATTTCATCCATATCCAAGCTCCATATAAGCTTTTAGAAGTAGGATGATCAAAGAGAAGGCAAACATTCAAAATATGCCTTGGTGAGGAACCACTTACATATTTGAGTGACTTGAGAGAATCATTCAAGCAACAAAAGCTATCTTTATGTTTTCAAAGCCATACAAAAACCCAAGTTTCTAAGCAAAGATAGAGTGAGAAGATTTGAATCCAAGTTGTTCCATTTTTCAATTACCCAATATATTTTGGTAGATACTTGAAAGTTCACAAGTTTAGGTGAAGCTTGGAATAACTTGTATGCAGATTTCAAACCAAGAATATGAACCCGCTTAGTCCTTAGGACTTTACTTGAGGACAGGCAAAGGATTAAGTGTGGGGAAGATTGTTAGCGGTGCTTAACTCATAATTCTTACCACCAACTCTAACATAAAATCTGCACAAATGAACACCAAACTTAGAATTTGGACTTATAATTAATGAATTCCATGAGTTTTGGTGATTTACCATTTGCAAGAGGACATGTCGGGATAACATAAGAAACATGCCAAAAGTACACAAATAACATAGCAACACAAACACCCGACATGAGCCCAAGGGGAGAAGGCCCACTTACCAGGCAAATCAGGGCCCAACCAGGTGGAGAAAAAAGCACAAAACACAAAGCAAACGTGCTCCAAATGACGCCAAACTCCATAGGCCCACTCTATAAGGTCACAGGAGGCCACCAGCCAAACTTGGGCTCATTTGGTCCCAGTTGAGGTGCGGCCGCACCCCTAGTGCGCCTGCACCACCACTGGCGTGCCTCAAGCCTAGCTTTGGCATGGCGGTGCATTAAATGCTTGGTATGATGGTGCGGTGGGTATTCGTCGAATATTCCTCCTCAAACCACCTCCAATCTACTATTAAAGGAGGAGAGCCCCCTAAAGAAGACAACACACAACAAGAGATCAAGAAGAGAAGAAGAGCTACATTCCTACCTAGCCTTTAGCTAGAATTAGAATAGGGAGTGAATGAGTTAAGAGTTGGAGGAGTACCAGAGTGTCAGCTACTTCTACTTCTTGTACTTGGCGACCCTTGTATATCGAGTGGACGGAGTGTCAGGATTGTCGGCTCCCTCTACACTTGTACCTCAATGTGCCGAATACTACTTGAAGTATAAGGTGCATGTTTATCTTTAGTGGTGAGTTCTTAAGAAAAGTTATCTTTGTTTACTACATTCTTGTGGGTTCATCGTTCGTCCCCGTGAAGGATACTCCAGTAGAAGGGCCCTGATAAAGACGGATAACCCTTGCTAGCACGCTAGAGTAGTAGACGATAGCATAGACGTGGTGTCCAGGCTTGAGGCTACCTTTGTTTGCCTCATACTCCACTATTGAGGGGTTGGCGGCATGTGGTGACAGCCCTGTCCGTCCCTTGTAATCCCCCACGTCCGAGTATGGCGTAGAGCTATAGGCCGACAACGCTTGGCATACCAAGTGTTATCCGGTGCCCGAAGCAAGTCTATAGTAGCAAAGCTATCTTAACTTAGGATCTCTATCCTTAGAAAACCTCACTACTAGAGCTATCTTTCTTTTTGTTATCTTGGGCGAACTAGCAAAGAGACATTTTACACATCCGTTCCTTTAGGAAAATATGATACCCTGAATACTTCTGAGTGAAGTGCTGCAACGGTGTATCTATGCGCTTGCAGATTCCTTCTGCAAGATCCTCGTTGTTCGCCCAATTTCCAGCACCATCCTCTCCGCCCTATCCCTAGCAGTGTGACCCGGGCATGGTCGAGCATGATGCATGGCCCATGAGTAGCAGTCTAGCAGGTCAAGGGCAAGGCACAACCTGAACATGTAAGTGAATGCAGGTCGGCTAGCCAAGGCGTGGTCGAGTTCAAGTCATGAGGTGCGGTGGCGCAACTGGCCTAAGGAAAAGTGCAGGGAGTCATGAGGTCTGGATCCAGTGGTGGTGAGGGAGATCCGGCTTGGGGATCACCTCATCTCTTGTCTCCCTCTTCCTCACCTCTCTAGCTTGCCCTCTCTCTCTTCTGTCCCAAATCTAGTGGAGGCAAGATACGACAGCACGAAGAATGACGATGGCCTCCAAATTTGTTGGGTGGTACGAGGAGGTAGCACGAGCAAGGATGGTCCACTTGTGGTAGTATGGAGACTATCAATCAAGGCTAGTGGCACAGGAGGGTGCATGGTGATAGCTTATCATTGGGCATGGCAGGCCTCACCAATGGGCTCAGCTGGCCTTGTCGTGGGGCTCATCGGTTTCTTTTAAATAATTTATTAACAAAAACAAGCATATAGGACCGCCTCTAGAAACTCTAATTAACACCGAGCCTAGACTACGGGTATATCAGGCGGCTTGCTCGCCTCTATTATTGCTCTTTGACCAATTGTAGAAATGGGTATTGTAGTATTGTCTCACTGTAGTAGTTTATAGTTTGTCTATTAATAGGTTAAATTGAGTCCTATATTTTAAATTTGAAATCAAGCATCCAATTCACCCCTCTTGGTTTCTCACAGGACCAGAAACGTGTCACTGTTGTTTTTTAAGATGTCACCTGGGGGGTGAAAAGTCCCCACCTGAATAATTTTTCACTAATACCAGCAAAGCCAGGAATGGAGGGTGTAGAGCACCTAATACAGGGGCGACCCTAGAAGGCCAAAGGAGTACATGATAAGTGGGAGAGAGATATCACAACACTAATAGAAACAACAACAACACAACATGGTTTAGCTATCAGCTCAGCCTACAACTTGAGCGAGTGCAACCACTACGACACTGCCGTGTGTCAACACCAATGACAGACTCTGAAGAGCTCTAATCCACATGTAGCTATAAGGTATTGAGTTGGATCCGGCAGACGACAGCCAGGAGGTTACCCCCAGATCCGACCAATCCAAGCACCTAGTGTCTTCCCGCACCGCATGTACACCTTGACAAGCGATGTTAAGGAGTCCACCCAAATGAGGGGCCCTTTGCCTGCTACTGACTGATGGAGCGACGTCTCTGCTGCTGGATCCCAAGCCACGAGTCGGTGAGGCATTCCCACGACCGCAAGCAGTGGCATGGAGGAGATCCACGGCCGCGCCGCCCGCCTCGACCTGGCCGCAGGCCTCCGCATAGCTCAGGCTCACGCCACACTCGCCTCGCTAAGCTAGCGCCTGTCTGCGCGCCGAGGATGGCACCCTCGGTCGCTGCCTCGCCACGCCCGCGTTCAGCCCGTCTGCCAGAAATGCGCCGGCCAGAAACGTGTCTGCGTCCACCAGCTCCGTGGAGCCGGATCCGGGGCAAGGGTCACCGGATTCGGACCTAGAGGACGCAGATCCGGTGCCCCATTGGTCTTCTTGCTCGCCGCCGGCCGTCCTTTTCGCCGAAAATTGAAACCTCGTCATGAGGAGAGAAGGGGAGGAGGGAGGAGGGAGGAGGTGGAGGATACTGTGGGGTAGCCTTGTTAGGCGCCACAGCGGGCCGCCACCACAGTTATCCAGAGAGCGGTGGCGGCGGCCATGGAGGAGGAGCGGCGGTGGGGTTCGGCAGCGGCGGCTGGGTCGCCACCTGAGTCGCCTATACGGACGACGCGTTAGGGTGGGGGGGTCTGCGTATGTTTCTGAAAATAGTCACACGTTACTGTTGTTAATTTTCACATATCTGCATCAGCAACATATTGATACATATAAGTTGTTGGGCGCAGAAGTATTTGCTCATGGGCCTGATTCCAAGTTTACAGCAGGTTTGGTTGTTTGTAACAAACCTGCTTTTTATGCAAACATGATACATCATTATGGTAACTTTGTGGATGTAATATCATGCTATCTGTTACATGCATGTCCATTATCTCTGCTACGTGTGGATGGAACAGCATGTTAGCTGTTGCATATCCACCATTTATTATGGTATACTTTGTGCGTATCAGGGAATATGCATTGGATAACGATCGATGCAGTCAGCCCATGGTCCATGTGCATCGTGGACAGGTCGAATGCACTCCCATACTGCACTGTTGCACTTAAACCCAGAGCCAAACCCAATCATCCACACTTGATTGCCCTTGTCCATGCGGCCCTTAGCCTCAACATATGCCAGTTCATACCAAATTGAGCTGCTAGATGTGTTACCAAATCGATGTAGCGTCATCCTTGATGGCTCAATCTTCTCGTCCGATAGGCTGAAGTTACGTTGGACACCATCAATTACTGCACGCCCGCCTGCATGAATGCACAAGTGCTGGAATACAGAGAGGAAGTCAGGGATATATAGCTTTACCCGCCCATTGAGAAGTTTCCGTGCGGTGAAGGATGCTGCAAACAAAAGCTTTTCCGAGGGTGGGAGTACAAGAGGCGCAATGGACGTGATGTTGGTTTTAAGAGTTCTAGCAGCGACGGCCACCAGTTCGGTGGAGAGATTAACACCAGTATATCCCTTGTCATCTTCTTCTTTGTAGATGCATTGGTATGACTGGTCACTTGAAGCCGTGAGTGTACGCATGATACACCTAAGTCTGAATCTGGCCATGCTTGGGGAAGTTGACAGCAGCACTGCGGCTCCGCCCATGCGAAAGAGGCAAAACGGAAGCAGCATAGCTCGCTCGTTTCCCGGGTAGGGATTGTCACTGAGGGTCTCCGTTGAAACAACTAAAGCATTTGCACCGAATGGCGCAGCTTGCAGGAGGTTTTTCACAAGCTCTATCGAGATTAGCCCTGCGCTGCACCCCATACTGGACAAGTGGACATGGTGGATGTCGCTGCGCATTTTGTACCGGTTTATAATCATGTCAGAGAAAGTTGGTGTAGGATTGAACTCGCTGCAGTTTGTGACAAGAATATCGACGGCTTGAGGTGCGATGCTTGTCTTCGAGAACAGTTCATCGATGGCCGAGAAGACAGCCATCTCTGCCTCCTCACGGCCGTCCTCAAACTTGCTGTATTTGTACGGGTCAATGTAGTGGCCCACTAGAGGCACGCATGTTTCCTCACCAAGGCCTGAACGTTCGTAAAGACGTTTCAGGAAACGTTTACTGCGTTCAGTCCAGTGGCTGACTTGTTGGACGTGCTCGACAAAGCCTGCGGAAGGAACACGGTGGGTATTTGGGGGACGGAAGCAAGCGTAGTCAACGAGATACACCGCCCGTGGGCGCCGCATGACGAGTACGATCACTGCTGTGCCCAAGAGGAACCCAATTGTGAGCACGTCCGTGTTCCTGACAGAATGAAGCAGAGGGGTGAGCTCATCAGACCTGCTTGCTCCCACGATGACAGCTGCAGTGGCGAATGGCACTGCGATTGTCAAGAGGAAATTGTCTACTATCTTTGCGAAGACTGTTTTGAGGTACTTGCCAACTGGTGATGAACTCATTGCGGTGGTATTATACTATGGGTTTCGCGTGCAGTAGTGTGTGTAGACTTTAGAGGTACAGTGAAGATGGGGAGGAGGGGTCCCTGCGTGGGGCCGAATTTAAAAGTGCAGATCCCCTGGGCTACCTTGTCACGTGTATATCCAACTTACAACCAACTTGTTATCAAAAACTTATACAACCAACTTGTTATCAAAAACTTATACAACCAACTAATAACCAACAACGGTTATGAATTTGCTTCAGTTACTTGCCACCCATTTGTGTACCAAGGAATTGTGCTACACGCCATTGCTTCGTCGCATGCAATTCATGTACGTGTACATTCAATGGATAGACCGATGCCCATTGTTGGATTGCTTTGTTGTGTCACTAACTCAGGATACTCTGTCTTTGTTAAAGTGGTATGGTACAAGAAGTCAAATTTCAAATCACAATGACTAAATATTATCTGACTTCCGTATTGATTTATAGAGGTTTGGCCAGAAAATGACTTAATATCCAACGCTAAATGGTAGGTTGGCTCAAGTGAGCATACAAAAACAGTTGTGCTTTGTCACGTTCTCTTTGAGGGGGAAAATGTTTAGTTTTATAGTTGTATATACTGCTGTAGGGGGTGTGCGGGGCCTCTCTGGCAGCGCTCGCCCCAAATCTGGCTGAGGGCCTACGGGCGGCTTCTATGGCGAGAACGGCGGCGGCAGTAGAAGCTCCTCCCCACGAAGATCCGGCGCGACGGAGGCGGGCTAGGCGATTCGGCTCCACGACGCCAACCACGCCGGGCTTCCTCAGACGCGTAGACGGTCCCGGTGGCGAGGGTGTGGGGGAGGGTTCATCCCGGTGGCGGCGCGGGCACGACAAGGACGACGGCGGTTGGGCTCGACGCCGGGTCCTTGTCACACCCGGTTTTAAGGACAAAACCGAATTCACATCTATATGCCAAGATCTGTTTATTCATACATGCGAGGACAATTAGATGATACAAATCAGTGTTTATTACAAAAGCATAACTTATTACAAAATGATAAGAGGGTCTAAAACAAAAATTACATCAAAGTACCAAGCAAGGTCTCCATCCACGTAGGCAGCCGACCGGGGGTACACCAGCCTAACATCGACACTGCGTCTTTGAGAAACTCCATCTTCTAGTTCGAATAGCTGGGTGGGGTAGCAAGGGGGACAAAGAGAAGGGTGAAAACATCAAAATGTACTCTGCAAGTGTAGGAAAGTATAACATGAGGCCAACACAAGGAAAGGCTTACAAGGTTTGACACACGCACTTAAAGGACACATCCTAATTTTCCTTAAATCCTTAGCACCTAAATACTAGGTGAAACACCACCTCCAAAGAGAGCCAAACCATAACCACACTTGGATTCCATCCAAGTCACCATCTGAACCATCCATCGTCAACCAAAGAGATCCACTAATCACAAAGAAGTCCAAGACGCTCTTGACCGTGAGCACGGCTAATATATCAGTTTTACACACTGCAGAGGTTGCCCTGAGGTGGACAGGTCTTGGTCGGGACTGGAATGTTTAGCTTTTTTGATGTTGTGATCCCAATGCCTGACTTTGATAGGTCTTCGTCGGGTTCGGACCTTTTGGCCTTAGAATTTGGAAACACTCGATCCCTGAGTTTGGTCAGGTCTTTGTCGAGGTCAGGCGATTTGCCATGGAGGTCGTTCTGCCATCGTGAACTTTTTGTTCAAGGTTGGTCGGGGGGGACCTCCTTCGTGTGCATTGGTTGAATGTTGCGGCCTCGTTGCTCCGCTTTTGACTTGTTGACCTTTGCTTTTTAGGGGGAGTACCCCTTTATATCCTTAGGGGTTTTTTACATAGGTCCTGCCTCGTTGAAAACCTCACCCCCGCTAGGAGCCCCCTTCGTGAGGAAAAGAGTATAGGACCCTAAAATAGGAAAAGGTATAAAAAGGAAAGAAAAGATAAAAGAACATTTGGGTGACTTCACATATAATTGTACGAAGCCACCCATACATTCAAACATAGAACCTGCGGAGGTTATCGATGTTCCATGCATGAGTGGAGCACTTGCCTTCAGGGTCGACAAGGTGGAAGGACCTTGGTCTTCCTGTTGCCTTTGCTATGTATGGACTTTCCCATTTTGGCTGGAGCTTGCTTGTAGTGTCTGTGTTGGGCTTTGTTCAGAGGATGAGGTCCCCTTCTTCAATATTTTTCCTTACTACTTTCTTGTCTCTCCATTTTTTGTTTGTATAGGGTGATGTTTTCTACTACTTCAAGTTTGCTGCCTTCAATGGTGTCTTTGGAGTAGGCTTCATCTGAGGCGAGTGACCCTTGCATCGCTCGAAGGCTTTGGTGCTTTATCTCTTCTGTCAACATTGTTTCTTGTTCATAGAGTAGATTGAAGGATGTGAATCATGTTGTTCTTGGGACTATGGTATTGTGAGACTGTTCTTGGTCCTTATCGACCAAATTCAACCGCCAAATAAGATACAAAAAAGGGAGAACTAGCATAACTTATGCACATATGTTATTTATATTAACATATTTCCATATGTATTGGAAGAACAATGTTTTGCGGGACATATATCCAGAATACGTGGAAAATGAAGTCAAAATGCGCAATCAAACAAAGCGTAAAGCAGATCTACACAAAGGATCAAGAGAACAACCCACCTACCTAGTGAATCTGCGCACGCTCTAGGCCTAGCTAGAGGCCCATCAGGCAAAGGCGGTGGCGAGGTGGGCCAGCCAGTGGACGGGTGCACCAGGGGTGCGACCACACCCTTGTTGCCGCCTCTCGGGCCCACGTTGCACAAGGAGGTCACATCAATGCTCCCAAGGATGGCTCGGGTGGAATCTCCTAGGAATATTCTTCAACAACTGTCCTAGGAGTAGTATAAGAGGAGGGGGAGAGCCCCCTCACTCAAAACACACACCACACCTTGAGCTCTCTCTCATTCCACACTTGTACTTTTACTTTTAGTAGTATTCCAAGCAAGGCAAGTTTCATTGGAGAGCTTGGAATTCTAGAGGCATTCTTGGTATGAATAATATGAAGAGTTCTTCTAAGTCTTTGTTCTCACTTTACCAATATTGTTATGTTATAGAATTAGAGCAAAGTTCTTATGTTAAGAATTTAACATGTAAAACTTTATGCTTAAATGTTCATACAACATATATGATAAGAATTAGATCTAAGTTGAGGTGACGGTTCGTCGTGCCTTCAGGCTTGCCTGAGTCCTATGCTTGTCGATCCGTAGGATCGGAGTCCCAAAGGGATTTGGGTAGTTTCCCTATACACGGGCATGGTGCTCGGGTATACGGGGACCTTTAGATGTGATGGTGCTCCATGGTTGAGGGGTAGGTGGCAGGTGGTGACAGTTGTTGGTGTTTCTTATGACTAGTGGAGTAATTACACAAGCACACAGAACTACTGTGTAGCACTTCGCCCGGTGAGTACCGATAATCGAATTTATATTTTTTCCCAAAGGAAGGCGGGAGGCTATGATTATAGTTAGTTGTTAGGAATGCTAAATGAATGTTGTAAATGGATGGGTGGATGAATGAGTGAACTAGTAAACAAGCTAAACTAGAGGTAGAATAGCTAGGTGGGAGAGTGAGTAATATCTTAAGTAACAAAGGTAAACAGATGACTAGGAGGAATTCTTTAGTACTTCAGGGCACAGCCCGCCTACCAACCTGGTGGTTTAACTAGACAAGGTCTGCCATGAGCCCTACGATATAATAACTAGACCAATCATGGTGGGATACAGAGGATGGGCAAGGCTATCACCACTTGCCAACTACCACAATCTATCCGAAGGCCTAGCCATATCCACAGGTAATCTATAGCCTAAGCACCACACTTAATCTATAAACTTACTACTTCGATCTGAGCTCTGATGAAATGAGATCAAAGCACCCTAATCAGACGGTGGAACTGGTACTAACGAATGACTACTAAACAAATGATAACCTATGATACTAATAATAAGAGAAAGCACCTAAGCTCACTAATGATGAACAATCATGAACAAGTACTTGAGCAAAGCAAAGCAATAATACTGAATAAAGTACTAAGAATAAAGTATTGAATAAAGTAAATGCTAAATGAAAGAATTACAAATGAGCTATACCAGACTCAGAAAACTCTTCTAGACTTCGAAGAAGCTCCGCTCTAGCTCTACTTCCACTCCTAAGCTACTACTCTAGAGCTACTCTAAACTAGAGAGCTTGGAGAAGCTTGGAATGCTTGAATATGAATGGGGCACTTCTCCACCGAGCACCACTGCCCCTTTTATAGTGTGTAGAGGTAGTGGGGGTACTTATAGGCCAACAAGTGAGGCAGTGGATGAAACTTGGGTGTCGGGCAACATCCTTGGGCGTTGGCCGAAGTCGGATTTCATCGTCTTTGCATCGTAGGGCCTTGATTGCTCCTCAAAGGTGGTTGCATGGCAGGTAAGGTGGTTGTCCTAATTAGAAAGGTAGTTTGGAGGTTAGTTTGGCCCCTTGACTGGATGACAAAGGGCCCAAGGATCCTCGGTAGCTCAACCTCCACCTTTGGATCAAACAGACATTGATCAATGCTTGTGAGGCCTTCTAGAGTGCATCCCATGGATCAGTGACGTGGTAGGGGCTAGGGTGGCGTCAGGCGATGCCATGTGGCGTAGACCGATGTGGCCTATGGGCCCTAGCCTCCCTACCACGTCCACTTGCCTATTATGCCTTTGTTTTGCACCACTTTTGCCAAAATTCCTGCATAAAAATAAATCTCCAAGTACAAGTGGAACTAGGTGAATTATAAAGCAAATTGGACACTTGTGATGATGTTTTACCTCACTTTATCTTGCTTTTGGGTGAAATGTTGATGAAGAAAATGGTTGTTAGTGACCATCAACAATAGCCCTATCAGTCCCTTGTAATCCCCCACATTCAGGTATCCGTATAGGAGTTCATAAATTGCCTCAAGAGGTTGCTGGCAGACCAGTACTTGGAGGTCTCCCTGTCCATCTGTACGCTTAGG